CGTGAAACAGTGTTCTCCAAGTGTGGTTAGAATCAACTGCAGCACTTCTAAAAATGTAGGCTCTTAGGCTCCCCCAAGCCTACTGAGTCAGTCTGTTTATGAGTGGTGTGTGAATCTGCTTTTTATATAAACACCCCAAGTATTGGGTTCTCCTGGTTTAGATGGCAGAGTTGCTTTTAGGAGACCAACCTTCCTACAGAAAACAATTGTAAATGCTAGACAGAGTGAAAAGGATAGCCTGTGAAGGCACCACTGAGCAACCGAGTAAGCAGAAGGAACCTTGGAAGAAGAGATGGCTTGGAAAATGATAAAGGCGCTGGGCAAACTAGCGGGCTTCCCGGCTTCCCCACCTTAGGCAGCCCCAGGCCCCCATTGGTACCAGTGGCCACATTCAGTAAAAACCAAGTCTTACTGCTTGGATAACCAGAAGGCAGAGCTCAGGGACACAGTACCTGGAAAATAAAGGGGGGAGGTTGCCTGGAGAGAACGAAGGTGATGCTGCTGCGTACTGCACAGGAGACGGACTTAGCGGGATGTTCAGACGAACCGCCACTCCTCCGGGAAGTGTCACGGCCTCCGGAGTCTCTACAATATGCCATTGACATTGTCCAGAGCAACTGAAGAGCAGTCAGCACTTGAGGAAATAGGCAATCATGACCTCTACTCAGGAGAAAAGGCAATCTGTGGAGACCACCCCCAAGATGACCCATTTGTTGGTAGAATTATTCTGAGGACAAGGATTTTAAAATAGCTATTATATGCTCAAGTACACAGAAGAGTATACATGTTATATATTGAACAAATAGTAAATCTCAACAGAAAAAGAGAAAGTATTTAAAATAAAAAACAAATTGGGACCAGCAGTTAGCGTAATGGCTATATCGCTAGACTCCCATGTAGTCGACCGCGGTTCGAATCTTGGACCCAGTGGCTTAAACTCACGCCAGGCACTTGTGCGTGTGTGCCACCTCAAGATTCCAAGAGGAGAATGGAGGAGAAGGGATTGCGGTGGGGCCATCTCCCCTGGGGGATGATTTCTCACTTGCTGTCTCTCTGTCTCTGGTGAGTGCATGTACACTGTAGCAAAAACCTCTGAAAAAAAACTTTTTTAAATGAAAAAAAAAAAAAAAAAAAAAAAGGGAAATAACCCTTGAAAAAAAATTTTTTTAAAAAAAAAAAAAAAAAAAAAAAAAACAAGTGGAAATCCAGAACTGGAAAGTATAGCTGAAATAAATTCACTTGAGGGCCCAGTCCCATGGCCTGGTGGTTGAGGAAGCTGAATCCCACATGGCCAACCAAGTGGTTTGGATCCTGACCTTGGCAGCCTGAAAACAAGCAGGTACTTGTGTGTGCATGCCCAGATCTCAACAGGATGGAGAGACGGAGACGGGACTGCAGTATGACTTTAAAGCATAACCAGGTGCATGTGCATGCATACCCCAAATCTCGATAGGACGGGGAAATTGAGAAGGGATTGTGGTGTGACCATGCCTCATGGTAAGGTGCTTTCTCCCTCTCCTGCTGTCTCTCTGGCAAATGCACACTCATGCCCTCTGGCAAATTAGGGGGGGAGGGGACAGACATAAAGTGCTTGTAAAAAGAGAAGCCTTTGAGCCAGCCCCTTATTGCAGTGATTATGCCCTGTGCATAAGCCATAAGGAGCTGGATCCCGCATGGCTGACTGCAGTTCAAATCCTGACCCTGGTGACTTGAGAAATACATGTGAGTGCTTGCCGTAAATCCCGATGGGATAGAAAACTAGAGAAGAAAGGATTGCAGTGTGACCACACCCTTTTGAGGTCTTCCCTGGGTCTTCCATTTCTCCCTCTCTGACTTTCCCCTTTCAGTGAGCATGCAGACCCTCTGGTAATAAAAACAGATAGACAGATAAGCAGACACCTTTCTACCACAGTTTATATCAAAAAGAAGCTTGAGCCCTTGGAGTATAATTATATATTATGCTCAGATACACAGCATTATCCCATATATGGAAATTATTTTTAGTCTTTCAAACAAGGCAACAATTCCTTGAAGCAATAGGATTGATTTTGGTTTGCTTAAAAAAAATTAGGACTTGATAACATCAAAGGTAGATTAGCATAAGATCATCATTTCTCAGGTTCTGAGCAGCCATAGGTGTGTGTGTACCCTCGGAAGGAACTTCAGTTCACTAAGACCGATTTTTTTTTTTTAATTTTTTTTTTTAAAAGAGATTTTTGCTATAGGGTGTGCGTGCTTGCCAGAGAGACTGAGAGAGACAGAAAGTGAGGAACCCCCCCCCCAGGAGGGATAGCCACACTGCAATCCCTTCTCCATTCTCTCCTCTGGATTTTGGGCACACACACACATGCTTCCACCATTAGTTTTAAGCTACTGGGCCTGGGACTCAAACGATGGTCGACTACAGGGAGTCCAGCGACATAACCATTATGCCATCTGCTGGTCCCCACACTGATTGTTAAGAGGGGTTGCAGCTGCTGTGGGAGGGCCTGTGGGCCTTCGGGCTGCTGAGCTCCAGGATCCATCCTGATCCCTGCTTGCTCCCAGCGTGCTGCTTTTCTCTGCTGTTGTCTCCACGCACCGGGGCCTCAGCCTGCTATCTCCTCGCTCTTAGGAATCATTCCCACTCACTTTGCCCTGGAATTTTTGACCTGAAACCTGACAGTGGCTTTTTTTTTTTTTTTTTTTTTAAGAGAAAGAGAGAGATTTTTGCTATTGGGCATGTGTGTTGTTGAAGAGACAGAGAGAGAGGAAAGTGAGAAATCACTCCCCCAGGGGGGCTGGCCATGCTGCAGTCCTTTCTCCTCCAGTATCCTGTCAGGGTTTTGGGCACGCATGCACATACACCTGGCATAAGTTTCAAACTGCTGGGTCTGGGACGTGAACCATGGTTAGCTATGTGAGAATCTAGCACTTTAACCACCATGTGTAAAGGTGTGTGTGTGTGTGTGTGTGTGCACGCGCGTGCATGCGTGCAGTGGGGAGAAAGTGCACAGAGCAGATTACTCCATCAGTGGAGCTGTCACGTGAGGAGAGATGTGTGAATGTTTTTGTTTTCTAGAGGAAAGGAAGAGGGACCAACAGTTAGTGTAATGGCTACGTTGACGGACTCCCAGGTAGTTGACTGTGGTTCAGGTTCTGGACCTGGTGGCTTAAACTCACACTGGGTGTGTGTGCATGCGTGCCCAAGAATGGAGGAGAAGGGATTGCGATGTGACCATTCCCGCGGGAGGTGATTTCTCACTTTCTGTCTCTCTGTCTCTCTCTGTCTGTCTGGCGAGCGCACGTGCCCTACAGTGAAAACCTCTCAAAAAAAAAAAAAAGGAAAGGGAGAGCTATTATCTGGAAGGAAAGATAGGAGCTACCCCTTAGGCAGGGCAGCCCCTCCAGAGCTTTATACTGAGGTATCGTACACGTAATGTATACAGACGTGCATATATACACACATACATATGTATCATACACCACAGGTGAACAGCTTGGTGAGTCATCACAGTGCAACATTGTGGACCCAGCACCAGATCAAGAAAGTTCCTCGTACCCCACAGCCCCTGCCATGCCCCCGGCAGTGACCACTATCCTTCTAACAACTCAGATTAGTTTGTCCTGTGTGTGTGTGCTTTTTTTTATTTTTAATTTAATTTTTAAAAATTTTGCCAGAGGGTACATGAGCTTGCCAGACAGAGGCAGGGCGACAGAGAGAGAGAAGAACAAAGGAATCCCTAGTGGGCCGTAGTCGTGCTGTAATTCTCTCTTCCATTTCTCTGTCCTGTTGGGATTTGGGGCACACATGCACAAGCATCTGACATGCTTCTCAAGCTCCTTTGGCTGGGATTCAAACCATGTGACCTGCCACGTGGATCCTGTTCCCATGATTACTTGGGACCGGCCGTGTTGTGTGCTTTTTTGTTTGTTTGTTTTTCTAACCAACTGAATTTTATTTGTTGTATAAACCAAACCACCTAACATCTTTCAGGTGAAAAAATACTAAATTTGAATAAAGATACTACAAAATGAATTAGAGCCCAATAAAAATTAGCTTTGGGGAGGGAACATAATTCTACTCAATTAAGGCAAACATGTTTATAGACCACCCATTAGTTTATTTTTAACACGCATCATGCCATGAATTCATAGGGAATAGGTTCCAGTAGCTCAGGCTCCTTTCCACTGGTTCTCATAAAGTGTGCTTCTCTGGGTGGAGCAGGCTGGTGCTTCAGTGAGACCCAAGTACCTTTCTCTTTGGCTTCTTTCTTTTTCTGGTCATTTTTCTTTAAACGTTTTAGGGAACCGTCTCTGCTCTTAGAATGCTTAATATGCTCAATACCCACATGAATTCTCTTGGCAAGAATCTTGCCCTTGCTTGTTTACAATAATGCCAACAGCATGCTGGGTACCATTAAAGACTCTTCCAGTTTTGCCTGGTAACATTTGTGGGGCATTCCTTTTTGAGCAGTACCCCTTCCCTTGATGTCTACATTTCACCTTTCTTGTAGATTCGCATATATGTTGCCAAAGGAACCACTCCATGTTTTCTAAAAGACCTGGAGATTTTTTTTCTTTCCCTCTGTGTTCATCAATTTGGTTAACTGCTGGAAGATGGCGCTTCCCTGCTCTGTGCTTTTGTGACTGGAATCTCATACTTGTTTGTGTTTGGCTTTCTTCTCACACTGTGTGTAAGAAATTAATTCACGTTGTTACATTTAGTTATAGATCATCCATTCTGTTATCAAATAGTATCATAGTACACCAGATGAAGACGCCACAATGTATTCTTTCTCTTGGGTGTTCAGATAGTTCCTAGTTTAGAACTATGACAAGTAGTGTAGTTGTCAGCACTTTTGTATAGCTCGTTTAGGGTACCCAGGCCCATTCCTTTTTTCTTCCAGCATTAGTGAGGTATCATTGACAAATATAGCCTGTTCCTTTTTTTTTTTTCCCTCCCTTCTTTTTGCTAAAGGTGTATGTGCTTGCCAGAAAGAGGGAGAGGAAAAAACCACCCCATGGGGAGTGGTGGTCATGCCACAATCCCTCCTACTCCATCTTCTCCTTCTCTTTGGACTTTGGGCATGTGCATACATGTACTGAACATGTTTTTCAAGCTGCTGGGTCTGAGACCCAGACTACACAGTTGGCTACATGGGCTCTGGCTCCTTTAGCTAGGCTACAGAGCTAGCCCCAAGCCTGTTCCTTTTAATGATGTTACTACTGAAAATGACTTATAAACAAGTAGAGCAAAAACAATAGTCATGAAGAAGTTGCAAACTTACAGTTTGGTGGTTGTTAGCCTTCTGTTTGTAAGAGTGGTTTATAGTCAGCACTTCAGAGACATCAACCCAATAGAGACTGTCAGACATAGCATGCAGTAGGGTAAGCTGTTTCAGTCGTGTTTGAGTTGTGCATGTGGATGAGAGTGTAATACCCATATGTGCTGTATACAGACAGGCGCTCATGTGCGGTACGTATGCTATACATATGTACACACACAAGAACCTAGGTGTGTCTGTGTTTCTTGTGCAGTGCGTTTCCTGCTTGGCTTCACAACGAGAAGTTTGGAGGCCACACTCACAGCCTGTGAGCCCTCATCCCCTCTGGGCTGGAAGCTGGAAACCCCACGGGTGCCAGCCTCGGCTTCTGCCACATAGGCAGCCAGAATCACGGAGCTTGCCTTCCTCACTCTCTCAGCTGGTGGAGTCGTGACAGAATAGCTGGCCGCTCTTGGCATCAGAGGGCAGTTTCACAGCCAAGGCGCTCTAGCTTGTGAACAGCCCCGTTCCCCACCATCCTGGCCAGCGCCAGTGCGATCCTGGGAGTTCTCCCTCCCAGAGCAGAGTTGTTGCCAAAGAACCTTAAAACACATACCGGCGCTGGGACAAATCTGGTCTGAACAGAGGTGTTACTGTGACCTATACAGTGCTTTTAAATTATTTTCAGTTTCTTGCCAGTTGGATTTACATTAAAGTCCATATTTTGGCACTTTTTAAAATTTTTACATTTTGTATCGGGCATGCGTACTCAGTAGAGAGAGCAAAAGAAGGGGACAGAGAGACCACCCCCTGGAGGGGGGAATGGCCATGGTTCTCTTCCATCCCCCTCTCGGGATTTGGGGCACACATGTGTCTATGCCTGGTGTGTTTTTCAAGCCACTGGGTCTGGGACTTGAACTCCTCAGTCCGCCATGTAGGATCCAGCTGCTTTAACCACCATACCACTGGCTGGCCCCACACTGTAGCCCTTGAGCTCCACTAACTCCTGGCCTGCAGCCACGTGGCAGCCATCAGCTGAAGCCCTTTGGATGCCCAGGGCTCCCTCTCCCTCCCTGCCCCTTCCCCTAGCTTGGCTGCTTACCCGGACTTCTGTAGACAGTCGCTTTTGTCACTCCTGCCCTACAGAAAGCAGGGGTGGAGGTGGACAGCAGGCAGACTGCTGAATAAAGGACCATATAGTAGTTTTCCCCTCCCTGTCACTGAAGTGAAGAGTGGGCCTTTTAGTTAGTGCCTGTCAGCTGTCAGGTCCTCAGGGCATGATGTTGGAATTTTTCCCTTCACATTTTATCTTTTTCTCATGCCTTTGGCCTTTAAGTATAAGGCTGTCATTATTGTTTGTCATCGTAAGTTGCTTTGTATTGTTTATTACCATGTGTACGAGCTAGAAAGTCATAGATACACTCTGTACTGACCTTGGGAGATAAGCACGGTAGTTAAACACACGAGAAGCAAGTCCCAGCATAACAGATACTATACAATCCTATTTTCTGTAGAGTTTGTTCTTTTAGAGCAGGCGTCAGCAAGCTCTTTCTGGTAAAAGGCCAGATAGTAAATATTTTAGGCTTTGTGGACAACGTGGTCTCTGTCACAACTCCTCAGAACTGCCGTTGTCTCATGGAGTGGCATAGACAATATGTACAAATGAATGTACCTCTGCTCACCACTTTTTTCCCAAGTTTTCGCTATAGGATGCGTGCTCACCAGAGAGAGCAAGGAGCCATCCTCTGGGGGATGACCCCATCACGGTTCCTTCTGCGTTCTCCTCTCGGAATTTGGACACACGCCCACGTTCCCAGTGTGTGTTTCAGTCCAGGACTCAGACCGCACAGCTGGCCACGTGGAAATCCAGCACCTTACCATCCACCCACTTCCTGGGCCCTGTTTCAATAAAATTTTATCACAGAAACTGTATTTACAAAACCAACTTGCAAGTCCCATTTGGCCAGCTCCTGTTTTAGAGTGTTTGAGGACCCAAATCTTCAGTGTCTGAGGTTGGAAATAGGAAAAGATAGAAACAGGAAGCATAGAGCCAGCCAGGGGTGCGGTAGTTAAGGCTGTCGAATCTCACACGGCCACCTGCACAGTTCCAGTCGTGGACCCGGTCACTTTGAAAACATGGCAGGCATATGTGTGTGTGCCCAAAATCTGGAGAGAAGAGTTGGAGATAAGGACTGCGGCATGGCCGCCTCCACTGAGGGGGCAATTCTTCACTGCCCTCTCTCTGTCTCTCCTTCCGTCTCCTTCCCTCTCTGGTGAGTGCACGCCACCTATAACAGATTTAAAAGAAAAGAAAAGAAACGAAACAAGAAGTATAGCAAAAGTGTTGTTTGGCTGCTCTGGACACACTCTCTCATGGTGGAGGACTGTCTCAGGAGAGTAAGTGCCCCGTCTTTGTCTTTCTCCACCAGACACAGGGCCAGGACCTCAGCACAATTTCACCAGCAATCATTTTTGAATTAATGTTCCCGAATCCAGATGACACAGCAATTCAGGAAGATCCTCAACAGACAGGTTTGTCATTCCGCCCCTCCTCCTGCTCTCAGCTCAGCTTTGGGGAGAGCTCCCGCTCACTGGTGTGGACTGAGAGGCATAGAGGAGTGTTTCCATTGGCTTAAATGAAGAGGGCTTTCTGTCAAAGGTCAGGAAAGTATGGGCCTTTCAGTTCCCTTCCATCTTTCCCCCTACTCACCCAGCTCCAGAAGAAGAGGGTTTCCTTTTCCAGAATCTCTTGTTGGCTTTTAGAAGAACGGTCGGGGCTGTGGGCCTTCTTCTGATGACAGGTTCATACACCAGCTTCGAGTGGGAATCTGTCCATAGTTTCATGATGCAGAAAGTGTACTCACTGGCTGTGCCCTAAAAAAAAGTACATCTAGTCTCTTCCAGAAAAGCCCTAGGATGTTTTTCTGATGGTTTGAAAGTAAGGTTGGTCCTGACACCTGGTACTTTGACCACAGGTGTCATCAGATGAAAAAGCAAAAAGCCAGCCTCTCCCAGTGAGGGACTCGGCCCCGACGGACAGTCGCTGCCTTTCCTTAGCCCCAAAGCTGTGTATCTGTGGCTCACCGAAGGCGTGGGATTTGTATATATGTTTCTATTTCTTTTTCTTGCCAGCTGCCTTGATTGAAAGTTTTAATGGTGATGCAGAGTCAGTCAGTGATGTTCCGCCACCCACAGGAAATTCAGCATCTTTATCTCTTCCACTTGTACTGCAGCCCGGCATCTCCGAGCCACCCCAGCCTCTACTACCAGCCTCAGCTCCGTCTGCTCCTCCGCCTGCTCCCTCCCTAGGAACTGGCTCCCAGCAAGCTGCATTTGGCAACCCCCCTGCTCTCTTACAACCTCCGGAAGTGCCTGTTCCCCACAGCACACAGTTTGCTGCTAATCATCAAGAGTTCCTTCTGCACCCTCAGGCCCCGCAGCCCATCGTACCAGGACTGTCTGTTGTGGCTGGGGCTTCTGCGTCAGCGGCGGCAGGGGCAGCACCCGTGGCAGCACCAGCCCCACCACCAAGTACTACTGAGCCCCTGCCAGCCATGGTCCAGACTCTGCCCCTGGGGGCCAACCCTGTCCTAACTAATAACCCCACGATAACCATCACCCCAACTCCCAACACGGCTATCCTGCAGCCCAGCCTAGTCATGGGAGAGCAGAAATTACAGTGGATATTAAATGGTGCCACCGGTTCACCACAAAACCAAGAACAAATTGTAAGTATTACATACAAACGTGCCCAGTGGGTGAGATATGTTTACAGAGGTCATGTGTTCAGAGGGTTTTGCTTTTTGAAAGGAAAATGGCTGTCATACCTCTGCTGAACCATGTAGCTCCCCC